TATCTTCTCTCCTTCCTTCTTTAGAATTTGTTGAATAGAACAACCTCTGGATAACTGAACATTTTTTCATACTCTATTTTATATCTATCACACTCAAACAGCTTTGAGAAAGGCCAGTCAGAAGGTCTGTTCTCACATTGATACATTTGTACATGCACCATATTTAATTTCTGGGGACATGACCATCATCAAATATTTTCCAATGCAAAAAAAAAAATAAGAGTATATTGTAGCGTCCCTGTTACATGAGGGTCATCATAGCACATTTACCTGAGGGTGTCATGGAAAGATTTTGGAGATATCTATTGGATGCCATGGTAGCTATGAAATTAAAGATGGTTACATCTCTTATTTCAGGTATCCATGGTGTACTGGTTCCCATTAGGGATAAGGACCTGAATGTGATGCCTGGAGTTCAGATTCATGACATGGGACATAAAATGGGTCTGAATGGAGTGGACAATGCTAAGTTCTACTTTGACAATGTCCGTGTACCCAGAGAAAACCTGCTCAACTTGTCCTCTGATGTTGCAGAGGATGGAACGTACACAACAAAAATAAAAGGCAGCATCCGAAATCGTTTTCTGGCTGTGGCAGACCAACTTCTCTCTGGGCGTTTATGTATAGCAAGCATGGCCCAAGGTACAAGTTGTGTACACTTCACATAATGGATACCTGTGCGCTTGTCACCCAGGAGAATGAATTACCTTACGTCAGGGCCCAGTTGTAGAAAGGGTGTATAATGCTATCTAACAGATAAATAGCAATCTGGCAGATAAGTGACAACAAAATGTATGGTGTTATCCATTGGTTTGAGTTTATCCAGTGGATTACATTATCCAACCTTCATACCACTGGGGCCAGATCTGTAAATGTTGGGGGTGGGAAGGGGGTTATAAAGGCTAATTGGAGATGGGAGGCTCGCGAAAGTTGTACTGGGAGCTAAATTTGGGTCATTGTTAAATTCTCCTGAATTCTTGCTCAACTTGTCCGTATAACTCCCTTGAGTGACCAAGACAGAATATCTCCTTACAATATCAATACAATATCAAGCAGACAAGTGGTTAGAATAAAAAAAAATACCAATTAGGATTTTTTCAGGTGATCAGATACCAAATTCCCAGAATTAACATCTTAAGAACTGTATTGTAGATAGTAAGGAGAATTACTGATGAGATGTTGCAAAAGGGTTAACGAGTGGGAGTCCTTGAGAAATAATTACATAAATTTTTGTGCTTGACGAACCTACTGTGTGCAATATTCAAAATGTATACCAAAACAGGCTCCAAATACAATTATATTTTAAATTGACTCATTAATTAGCCCAATAGTTAAATACTACTTGGAAAACCATTTGCATGTCTCATTGTGGTTTGATTTGGGGCAGAGATATCTACATTACAGAAATGGTGAATAGTTTTTAGAGATTATGGGCTTTGCTATATATGCAGACAGACCCCTTGCTTCATGTTTATCCATTTTGATGTAACAGGTGCTTCAAAAGCTTGTCTTGCCATTGCTCTTCGCTACTCAGCAACTCGTCTGACAGTGGGTCCGGAAGGCAAATCTGACACACCTATTCTCAAGTATCAGCTCCAACAGAATGCTCTGATGCCTCTACTGGCTATCACTTATGCCATTGATTTTGCATTGCATTACATCAAGGATTGCTGGGCCTCCCAGGTAAAGTAGAAGGAGCATTTTTCTATTTCATTGAGGACAGGTGTTCTCGGAGAAATGAAATTTTATTTTGAGAGAAGTCTGGAAAATTTTATGAATGTTGTCTTGAAGGAAAGGGCTGTTTGCCAAGTAACGCTAAAAATGTCATGGAAATTTCCTTCATAGGCTACAGATGGATCTGACCATGCAGATGTAGTGACCATGTGCTGTGTTATCAAGGCCATTGCTGGTTGGCATGTATCTGAAACAGGTGGCACTTGCCGCGAGAGGTGTGGAGGACAAGGCTATCTGTCCTGCAATAAATTTGGCATTGATTTGGCCCTGTCACATGCTTGTATGACAGCTGAAGGTGACAACTCGGTCTTAATGCAGAAGGTTGCCACTGAAAGGTTGATGGTTTTTAAACCAGTGAAAGATCAAGGTACAGCAAGTGATGGTGCTGACCTGAGTGACCGCACTTACCTTCAGGCCCTGTTGAAGTCTCGTGAGAACAGACTGTTCACATCTCTGGGGAAGAAGATGATGAAGGCTGGGAAGGAAGGAAGGTTTGACACCTGGATGTTCCAGGAACAGGATCTTGTCCAAGCTGCTGCACGTTCGTATGGTGAACGGCTCATCAGTGAATGTTTTGGTGTAGCTCTTGATAAAGCTGACCCTGGTCTGCAGCCAGTTCTAAAGAAACTTCATCATCTCTACCAGATGACAGTCATTAAGAGAGATCTCGGCTATTTTGCCACGTCGGGGCTGATGTCTGCGGAAACTGGGGCAGAAGTGGGGAAGGTGACCGCTGACCTGTGTCGTGAAGTAGCACCACAGGCTCTTGCGTTGTGCGATGCTTTTGGATTCACTGATGAAATGCTCAATGCCCCGATCGCTAGGGATTGGGTCAGATACAACGCAATCGATAATGAAGGAGAAGTTGAAGGAGTAGAATATTGATTTTGCTCTGCATAATTTTTTTGACAATCACGACTATTGTGAAACGACTGTATTAGTAATCGCCAAAAGGTCACACTTGGCCAATTAGTTCAACACTGATATATATGCGACACTGTCTAGCAATATTGGATGATGTGGGATCTTAAAGATTGATAGCTTTCCTAGAGTGACGTATTTGAAATCCATTTTAATCCATTGGGATTTATATTACACAACCATCGAAATTGTATCTCAATTCAGAATACTAGCATGTTTGTCAGTCTTCTTAATTTTGGTGAATATTCAAGGTTCACACCCATCTTTTATTTTAATGTCGTTAAGATTCCGTCTGGGTCTATTTCGTTGAACGTTTTTAGTAGTTGTAGTGGTGAAGAGCATACTTTAAGTCATGTTTATTTTATCCGGACTTGATGAGATCAGGGAAAGGAAGAAGAAAAAAGACAAACATACATACACCTACTTGCTAACCACATTTCATTTTTATGTGAGTCTTGGAGTTACAATTTTTCCTTGAGAAGTAAGAAGCCGAAAGAAGAAGAAAAAAAAGAATGGTAAAGATTAATAGCGTTAATTCATTGAAATAATGAAATTTTGTTGTTTCTGGTCAACGACGCAAGTTTCATCCCCTAATGTGTATGCTTCGTTCGTAGACAGCAATAAAGATTGTGCAAAATATTCTGCACTTGTATTTTATGTCACTGCGTAAAAGAAATGAAAGCCATTTTCTACTAACTTGGCCAGTAAAATCCTTCCTCTGTCACTTCTTCTCACTTGTTTCTCGTCTCCCCTTCAGTTCACGCCCTCTGGACTTGGGCCACCAAGGATGAAATCCATCGACCAGTTATCCAAATCCGAGATCGACTTTGGTATGGAATTGAGAGGGGAGAGGGAGGGTTGGGTCTACTTGTATCAATGACGTACCGGGCTGCCTGTACTCATTCGAGCGGGATAATTGCTTTGTTTTCAAAAATATAAAGCAGCGAAAACAAAGAAGTAAAACAAACAAGCAAAAGTAAGACTAAAACAACGAACAAAACAAAACAAACACGGCTGAAGATTGATCTTGCATTTGACAACTTTTAAAAAATAACTTTTTGTGAATAACTTTTACACTTTTAAAAGGAGAAAAATTTAGTCAGAATAAATTACCTTTTCGCTCTAACCAAAGGCTGACGCTTGAAACGTCAGCTTTGAAACTCTTTACGTTGGCCAATTTTACGTTATCAGCTCAGTTGATATTTGAATTCTGAATGAAACGTTATACTAAGTATTTGAGAGATGTCTTCATTTGCTTACTTATTAGACAAGTCGATAGGGAAAGTACAAGTATTGCGTGACATTTTTATGTCACGTTATAAAATTCAGCGGACATTCCCTTAAGAAAACAAGATGGCGAAGAATGCTCAGCTTAGCGAGTGATATTTACGTTGCGCCTTTCTTTTTCTGTAAAGAGCAGCCTTTTACTTCGTAGGTAGACGCCAATTCCTGTCATCGGTGAGTACAGTAATAAAATGTGCTCACTGAGATTTCTTTCATGTCAGGCGAAAACTTTTGTGGTTAGAAATACAATAACAATCAGACCAAGGAAAGAAATCGCAAATCCTTTAGATTTCATACTTGAAGCTGACATTCGCGTTTTGCTCTTATCTTGCAGTTGTTCACCATGTATTCTGAATGGGTTTCTCTTCGAAACACGCTACAGCGCGATCGTAACAACAGGAGTGTTCTGAAAAGTTTTCCTCCTAATGTAGGAAGCGAAGTTGTCCACACAGTAGTGAAAACTCTGACACAACCGGGGAATCAAGATTACACGACTCTGAGTACTGAGAAACAGTTTGACTGGGTCATGGAAGTGTTTTGTTATGGACTCACGCTTCAAATGACGGAAAGTGATGGCGAAATTGTTAAGGGTTGTGTCAACATTTACTTAGACTGGTTGTCGATGCTTACAAATCCCAAGAAAGGCATTCCCGAACCGTTGCTGAAAGCGCCAGATAAGTACGCAAAAGAGATCTTTCAGCATTTTCGTAATCTTTTCGTCCTGCGAGAAGAGGGTAATCTGGCTTTACAAGTTTCGTTATGCATCAGAGTGCTGCAAGCAATTCAAGTCACGGCTTCAGAGGCAAGAATGTCGCCGCTAACATGGGAAACCTTGCTCAAGTCCTTGATGATAATTAATGACACGCTCTTGTCACCACCAAACAGAACAGGGGGTCTTGCAGAACTCTTGTGTGAGAAGCTGATCAGTGTTTTGCTGGAAGTGTGGTTGTATGCCAGCTGTCACCATTTCCCAACGCCGTCAATGTGGAAAACTCTGCATGAGCTTTGCACGTCATGGCGTCATCATAGCGCGATGATCAACCACTGGAGTAGAACAGCACTTGCTCTCACCAGAAGAGTCATACAGTACATGTATGGTCCTAGCTTTCCCCTTCCTACTCTACCCCACAGGAAGAGTGATGTCCAACTGCCAGTCAATTTAGGCGATGAATGCCTCATTCAGTGCTGGTTCCGGATACTTCACATAATTGGTAACCCTGTGGATCTTTGCAAGAAAGAGATAATCAGTGATACTCCCAGATTTAAGGAGTTTGCTTTGTCAAGTGAGGAAGTGATTACACCTTCCTCTCATCCTTGTTTGAAGGCACTTCCACAGAACTTCTTACAAGCAATGAAAGGAGTAGCAGTCCTTGTAAATGCCTTTCTCACCATCACAACAACTCAGGATGAGCCAGTGAAACACATACCAATCCCAGCTCCAACAAAAACTGCAACTCCACCAACTACCAAGAAACGTGAACAGAAAGCCTTGAGTATTGGTGTGGCTTTAGGTTTGAGTGATGCCACTGGTTTAGCATCAAGATCTCAAACCCTGCCATCAAGACCAAGTAGTGGTACATCATCCAGTAGTCTGCCACATTTTGAGACCTTCCACTCAGAGTTAGCAAGTGTTCCATCATCCTCCTCACTGTTATTCTCTACTTCATTCAAATCTGATGCTCACAAACCATCAGGAGATAGTGTGCTCCATTTGTTTGGAGCATGGCTCTTTGAGGCTGTTTTTGCAAAACTGGACATGGCAGCAAATTTCAAGGCTCTTGGAAAGATATATGATGGGTTTATAACAAATTCTGGCCAAGCTGACACAGCAGGAGGGATCAAAACAGGGTTCGTGAATTGTATCTGAAAATTTAGAAAAATTCAACATCTGCAGAAAATCACATTTCTAAATAAAATTTCTACAACTGATGTCGTGGAAATTACTTTTTTGTAAAATTATGCAGTCAGCCTATTTGAGTCAGTATGTTTGAGATTCACAAGCATTTTTAAATTTTTATTGTATATACAGTGATATAGAAGTCATGAGATAACACTTATTGTATCTTTATTCACTCTTAAACTCCCAAGATCTAATTATTAATTCTCCCCTCTAACTACAATAAATTTCCTTGTAAATTAGTTACAAGAATTTGTAGTTACCTATAAATCAAGATAACAACTTCTACCTGATAAATTTGAGTATTCTCGTTACCAGTGTAATGGATAATCTTTGAATATTCTAGGGAGAACATATATGGTGATCACTTCTTGAGGTTGAAGGGTTAACTTTGAATTTATAGTGTTGAGAAGGGTGGCCAAGCCATGGACAGCAGATTTGAACCAGGCAGAGCTGAAGCATATGGTGCTCTGTGTCGCATCTTTTGTAGCCATCGTTCTGGTCAAGAGGTTCGCCCTGTCTACCTTTCCCGGTTTTATTTAGCCTTGGCCATTGGATTGTTATATTCAGAGGTAAGAAGATTCCAGGGTCAACACAGGTGTTTCTGGTGAGAGATCAATTTTTTAATCTTCACCACCAGATATCTAATTACAAAAAATAGCAACTGCCTTAGGAAAATTAATTTTGACAACCTTTTTTGGTACTTATGAGTAGCACTTTATAATGATATATTGTTTTTCAATGATATCTTTCAGTCCTGCACTGGTCATGTGCTCTGTAGTATATTACTGAACTCAGCCGATCTGTTGAGAGTGGATCTGCAGGGAGTCCAGGTGTTGTTACCACACCTTATCATGGCACTTGAAACTGTGCTGCCAAGAAATGACATCCAAATCAGGTAGAACAATTAAGTTTAACACAGGTTCTTAGCAGTAGTGCAGAAAGCAACCATCATCTCATAATGGGATGTTATCAGATTCACTGATCAACACAATTATAGCTGATTGAATTGAAAGATGAATGCTGATATCACTATGCCTTTATTGCCAACATGTATGATTAGCAAGCTAGAACTAAAATTTTGGAATCTTAAGCCCTTAGAGGGCTTTAAAACTGACATTGATTGATCTGGCATTACAGGAGACAGTTATATTTCAGTCAATCAGTCAGGGAGTTGGTCAGTCAAGCAGTCAGTTGCAATGACATTTAGACAGTTAGAAAGACAGACAAACAGGCAGGCAAACAGATATTAAAAATGAGGGATAATTGTTTTAATTTGATTAGCCAGTCAGTCAGTCATTCATCAAAAAAAATGAGAAATTTGTCTTTTTCAATTAAGTTGAGGATGTGAATTGACCACCATAAAGAGTTTCTAAAGCTGATGTTTTGAGCAACAGGCCTTTGTTAGAACAAATCAATTTGATGTGGCCAGGGGGCTCAAAACTAGCGACTTGGCTTGGCCAATCTACGACTCACTAGATCAAATTATTTTGTATTACCCCTCACAGATGCAGCACCACAGTTTCTTCAGAAACTTACTCTCTTCATTCCAAAAAGAAGCCTTGAATAGTTTATCAATTAGTCACTCAGTATGTCTCTGTCAGTCCATTGATAAGCTTGTTAGTCCGAATGTCGCACAATCTGGGTATATTCATTGAACTGAAATCTTGATCCTTCATCTAGACACTTCACCCTTTAACACTCAAGGTTTCATCATTTGGTAATTCTCCTTATTTTCTGCCATACAGTTCTTGTGATGTTAGTTTGGAGAATTTGGAATTGGATCAACCAATAATCCCCTAATTTGTATTTTTCTTTATTCTCATTACTTGTCTGCTTGATATTGTACTGATAGTGTAAGGAGAAATTCTGTCTAGGTCAATAGTGGGACTCAAAAGGTTAATATTAGGGAGTTTAAGATGTCACTATGGCAACTTGTGATAAAATGCTGCTGAAAAAACAAAATTTGTTTTTCTCTAAGATTTTTCACCAATAGTTCAATGTGTTAACTGGTTCTAAGTTTTAAAATGCATGTGTTTCGCTAATTGTTTTGCTCCTCAGATCTTATACACATAACAGCAATATCAATTACAAAAAAACCTTTTTTTTGGACAAATAATTAGTGAATTGATGGCAGTAAAATCAGGTGATCAGTCGTGGTTAGATGAACAGAAACTCAAAGGGTTGTATCCAAGCTTGGTCACCACACTTAATCTACCGTTAACTTTGGAAGCAAGATGTGATTTCTTGTACAGGTATGCAGTTAGTTATTGAAACCCATCAGATAGAGAGCAGCTAGTCAGTTTATCAATCCTTCTGTGCACTAGTCCAGCATCTCTGTTGATCAGTAAGCTAGTTTGCAGCAAGTGGTTTCTGTAGCTTTTTCCATATAAGGCTACTGATGGAGTAAAAGGCTGGTGTACTCAGAGAGAGGACCACAAGCAAAAACCAAACACAAGAGCTTGCTCACAGGATAAACAGACAATGGTAAGGGGGGTCACAGGTAGCATTGGACATCTATTGAAACCCCTGAGTCAGTTACAATTTTTGAGAGCCAGTTAGTATCATGATTTATATCCCATGCTTCTTCCAGTTAACCTGTCAGTCATTACTGAGAAAGAGAGTCTGCCCCATCTTTAGTTTCAGTCAGTGAGCCAGTCATTTACATGTAGCCTTTGTGTCGGTACATCTGTCCTTCAGACAGTCAAGTAATCTGTCAGTCTTTCAGACCATTAGTCTTTCTGTCCTTCAGTGACTTGATCAGTCAGTTAGCTGTATAGTGAAGATAACTGTAATAAAAATTCATTAAGTGAACCTAAGTCTAAACATAAATATACTTACTGTCATATTGTTACTTAACTTCCTGACCTAGTTATATTCAGACGCAGAGAACTTTTAGTTACTTTGTACTAATCCATTGCCACTATGTCTCTGTGTGAAAACCCTGAATACTGTGTTAAAAGATAAACACACTGTGTAAAAATCCTGGTATCAGATAATTTGATGTTATCAACTGAGATAAATGTAAATTGGTAACCGTTGAGAGTTTCTAAAGCTGATGTTCTGAGCATAAGCCCTCCATCAGAATGAAACTAGAAATTCTCATGTCTAATTTACATTATTAATGCAGCACATCAGTCTCTCTGGAAACTTATCCACTTTAATTGTCAATTGATCTCAGATATTCTCCTTTTCTGTCATTGATTCCCTCAGATGTAAAGTGTCCACTACTGAGCTTCGAAGAGCTGCCATCCATCTCCTGTTATCCATGCTTTGCTTACCGCTGCATTTTCAGGATCTTGACATAAAAGGTTAGATGAGAAATTATGATTAATGATTGATAGAGTGAGTGCATTTCTATTGAGTGTTGTAAAATGAAACCACAGTAATCACAGTAACCAATCAGAGCAAAGGAAAATATTGAAAGGAAAAATTTAGAATCCCAAGTTAAAACAATTAACCCTTTCACTCCCAAGATCTCATTAGAAATTCTCCTTACTGTCTGCCACACAATTCCTATGATGTTAGTTCTGAGAATTTGGTATTGAATAAACTAATTATCTCCTAGCTGATATTTTTCTTTATTCTCATCACTTTTCTGTTTAATATTGTTTTGATTTGGTAAGGAGAAATTATCTCTTGGTCACACATGAGAGTTAAATGATTAAATTGCCTAAAATGAAAATGCGAGTTACCAAGTCACGCTTGGTTTTAGTTTTGAATCTGACTAGTTGAGAAAGTTAGGGAATTTTCTCAGAAAGAGGGAGACATAATGGCTTAATGCAATGGACCTGTGTTGAGAGGTCTGGTGTTGAGACCTGGAAAGGTCATTGTGTTTTGTTCTTGAAAAAATAACTCTTTTGTTACTTTCACAGTGCTTCTCTCCTCCCAGGAGGTTAAATTGGTACCTGTAAAGTTATCAGAGTTTTCTGGACCAATCATATGAATAGCAAAGTGATGCAAAACCAAATCAATCTTTAATTAATTTGGACACTCAATTGAAATTGTTCCAATGAAATTGTTATCATGAGTTCTTACACAAAATTGGACAAATCATACTTCACTTTGCATTAAAAATGGCCACGTATGACATAGTGTACGTCTTGAAATTAACTTGTTTTGTTATAAGCTGTTTTGTAATGTGTTCTTGTGTTCTTATTGTAGACATGACAGCAGGATGGAGGAAGAAGCACACTGCTAGGCAGGAGGGGCACGATGAACACCAGTCCCTGACATTCATCTCCTTGAAGCCAAGGCTCATTCGACTGCTGCTAGAAGCTCTTCAGTGTGAATCGGACTCATTCAATGTTCAGATTCTTTTGGGAGGTTTGTAATACAGTGGAAAGTTTAAATTCTGGAGGATACTATTTTCTTTAAATTTCTAGCAGGGAGCTGGAGGAAAACTTGAATTTAAAGTCACCTCTTTGACAAGCAGTTAAAAAAATTCTAATTCTGAAATTTCGAACATTCTTCTTCATGGTAGCAACAATGATTGGTTTCCCAACACTGTATTATCTTTGAGAGTTGCGTTAGCTAAACGGTAAGCGCTGTGAACTCAAGGACGAGAGGCACTTTAATAATGATAACGATAATGATGATATTGATGATATTGATAACAAATATCATAGTTCATAGAAAGACTTTATCTACGGAGAGTAACACTAAACTGTTTAAAACTGATAAACATGTGGCCCTCTTTCTTTACTTCTCTCTCATTAATTCATTTATCTATATATTTACTAAACTATGTATTTGTCTATTCACAGGAATGTCTCTGCTAATTCAAGACAGTGAGACAGCTGAATCCCTTGGGATCTCCTCCCCCAAGATGGACTCGGTAAGTCATGGAGTGGAAAGGCCACAGGCCTCCCAGGAAAACAGGCGCCGAGCAAGCACTGGAAGCAGCTCAGTGTCTGAGACAGGAAGTACGAGTGAAGTGGACAGTGGCAGCAGGATTCAGTACAGTCAGCCTTTCAACAAATCTTATGGTGCGTGTAGGAATAGTAACGCGTTTGCTGAAATATCAATTCGTCTTGAAGTATCAATCCGTCCGTTAAAAAGAAGTGATGACCTGCTGAAAACAGCGTCCCCCCACCCACCCCCCCCTCTCCTTTATCCCCTCAGCAAAAAGTAGCGACCCCCATAAGAATTGCGTATAATATTTTCTTAGAAGCTCAAAACAAGATGGCAATTCAACGGAATACCCATAGTTCAAGAAACTTTGTGTTCTGGAAGTCTCAAGTTTTCCGCTTATCTTTGCTTCCAGTGGGAGTGTCAATTTCCTATCATAAATTTGCGTGACAGCATTTGTTTGTTAGGAATTTACTCCCGATTGGCCAAAATAAATCCATCTGCGCATGCTCGACGTTGAACCGTTTTGTTAAGCTGGCAGAGGTGCGAGTCTTCATTGAGGACTCCATTTTTCGTCCCGCGAGGCTTGTGTCAGGAGTTTAATTTTAATTTTAATGAATAAATTTTTTTCAGACCTCTCAACTGTTCAAGGTCTGTTTGTACAGTTGACGCACCTTCTGTGTAACAAGTTGGTTGTGATCAGAAGCAGTCGTTGGAAAACTGACGTTCACATCACTTTGGCTGCCTTTGAGCTTCTGTCAGGCTTAGCAAAGCTCAGTATGGGTCATCTGGGTAAGTAATTTGTTGTGTTGCTGGCTGTTTGAAGTATTCGCGTTATTTTCAAAGGTTAAGGTCTTTGATACTGCTCTATATTAGTTAAGGTGTTTTTCTGAGTTTTACTGAAATTTCGTTATGAAAAAGAGAAGAGCTTTAGCAATATTTACCAATCTTGATTGAACAAGTATGACCGAACAAAATGTTTTCGTTGTATTGCAAAGTCAATCAATCAAACTCGTCCTAATTTCCTCAGTGGTCACTGTCTCCAGACTAACCGTTTTTATTTGTTTGTTTGTTTGTTTTTGTCCTATTTTGCCGTCAAAATATCTTATGAGCAGGCTTTTATTATAAGCGTGAGCGTATGAGGCCTGTAGCGACGCAAGCCGGGAGGTGTGCGAGCGGTCTGATACTAGACCCCCGGCAAAACTATCTCCGACTCGTCTCCAATCCCACGGCGTTAGTGATAAGGGCCTGGCGGCGCAAGCTATAGATCTTTTAAATTGTTTGGTCCTGTCTCCTGTTTCCTACGCTCTCTTGTTTCCTCAGAGATGACTTTATTTATTTATTCATTTGTTTATCTAGGGTGCAGTATCGCTCAGGTTGATATGTGTAGCGTGATATCTGCTTGTACTAGATGACTTTTGATCATCACTTAAGCCTGACTGGTGTCTTTTGTCATTTTTTTTTACCGTGAGTCCAGTTCTTAGTTGTAGCTTGGTCTTGATTTGCTTGCTCCATTTTTAGATCAAGGTGAGTGCAAGAGTACAATCCACTGGCTGTGTGATTACATCACTTACCAAGCCAATAAGAAGGCCATACACCACTCACGCGATCTTCACTCCATGATCGTAGCCGCTTTCAGCTGCCTTCAGTCTTGGATAATGTCGCATCCATGGCTCTTAGACAGCCAGGTAATAAGACTGACAGACGTAATGACTGACTTAACAATAATACGTCTGTCCGTCATTGCGTGGGTCAGTTTGTCTGTATGTCTGTTTGCGGTCAGTGTTGAACAGGCAGTCAGTTAGTTAGTCAGTCTGTTAATTAGTCAGTCAGTTATTTTTTCAGTCAATCTTTCACTCCATCAGTGTGTCAGTCTGTCTGTCGGTCAGTCAATCTTTCAGTCAATCAGTGTGTCAGTCTGTCTGTCAGTCAGTCAATCTTTCAGTCAATCAGTGTGTTAGTCTGTCAGTAATTCTTTCAGTCAATCAGTGTGTCAGTGTGTCCGTCAGTCAGTCAATCTTTTTAGTCAATCGGTGTGTTAGTCTGTCAGTCAGCCAGTCAATCTTGCAGACGGTCAATGTCTCAGTCACTTTATTAGTCAGTCAGTTCGCCAGTCAGTGTGTCACTTTGTCAGTAGTTTGGTCAGTCAGTCATTGCGGTAGTTATCATTTTGCTAGTCTGTTACTCGGTTGATCGATGTGGTGTTTAGCACCCTTTAACAAACTGATATCCTATGGAATCATTGATTTAAAACTAGTCAGAGTTCTAAAAGTATTTTGTTTGGTTGACAAGACAGTATCACTATAAATCAAATATAAAGTCAGCAAATATTGTTGTTAGTGCAGGTTAATAACAAAGGAGTACTTTGAAGTAAGGAACTTCCGTATTCCAGTAAAATGTTTCTTGGTGTATACGTGTGTAAATAATACCTTCCCATTAATTTTTAATCTCATTCTAGGGCTGTTTACATGTCGTCATGGAAGTGGTAGAGCTTGGAATTTCAGGAAGCAAGTCGAACGAAATTTCAAGAGTGAGTAAAATGTTACAAATATTAAGCTCGAGCTTATTAAAGATACAACCGAACCAAACCCGTTTGCGGGAAATTTTGAGGCTGGTTCTAAGAACGGGAAGACAAGTGACGTAAAGAGCGAGAAAAGTCGCAAATTCAGATTTTTCTTTGTCTCTCTCTTGTGTGAAATGTTCAACCTCTGTCTTGACAAATTGTCTTAATTTTCTTCCTCTTAGGACCCTCAGCTTGGAACGGACGTGGCTCCCCGTCTGAAAGGTATGACAGTGGACATCTCTACCGTAGTACCTCGAGAAAAATAAACGCTTGGATGATTTTTGCCATCTTTACAGTCTTACTTTGTTGGTTATAAAAAGGCTATTGATTAAACCAACTGGGAGACAGTTGTTCGCTGCCACTATTATCATGCGAGAGATTGTCTTCAGTGACGAGAAATGCGTTGAGCGCGCTTCTTCAATTCACTCGCTTTCCGAACGCTTTCCAGTTATTTTGCTTACAAGGTAACGTTCGTGCGTCTTTCAGGTGACAAAGAATTAAAACCAGTGTCATTCCGTGTAAGAGAAGCTGCTGAAGGAATGCTTACAGTCATTATGGAACACTTGGTATGTTATCACTGTCCGGTCATGGCTTCCTGTATGACCAGCTTGTAAGGATGAAGTGCCTTGTGTATTTTGTATGTGCCCTTGTTCAAAGTCGTTATAGATGTCTTCCTAGAATACACGCGTTTTTTGTTCAGATTTCAAGAATCGCGAACCCAAATTTCTCACTCGTATTTTTGATCCGACTTTTTTTGCCTTCTTTCCCTCTTACCTTGTGGTTCAATGTGTTATATTTCCTCGAAAAACAAATGTAGGTTTATTAGTTTAAAAAAACATTGAGAAAGGAAAGGCGAGAACGGTATGTTTATCGTGTTAAGTAGTAATATTCTTTCCGATGAAACTATCACATGTCTGTGACGAAATGATCTGAACAGGTTTATTCCGCGATTGTGGCCAACTTAATCGCATTTTGCCATTACGCTGATGATTCATCTCCAACCTCTTGATACTGAAATCTTTCTTTAACAGGGAGCGTTTCCATCCCCGTGCGGTCCGGCAGCGTTATCGTCGCTGCTAGATGAGAAATGGGTTTTGAAGCACGTTCAGTCGAATGATTCATCAACAGAGGTAAATTCAGAAATACTGCGGTCTTTATGGAAATATTTTGAGTAGACTTTAAGTGATGCTTGTGAAGTGTCACGCTTCCTGCAGTATATTTCATGACAGCTCAGGCTCGCGCAACGTTTAATGATTTCGTTTGACTAAGTCACACTTCCTTCACCGATTTCTACTGTACGTCCTCTTTCTTAGAAAAATTTATGAACATGTAAATTATTAATGATAATAATTTACATGCAATATTATTAAAAGTGGGATTCTAAAAAAATGAAATTAGAAGGTCAAAAATCTAAGATTCTTGTTAGATGTTAACCAACAGAGCTACGAAGCCTCATTTTGGGAACGAGGCGTATTTTAGAGGGTCCTTGGGTCCCTAAGAGATATGCGCCTACAATAAAGCCTTAAAATTTCAGGCTTCTTCTTTGCAATATTTTCAATTTAGACCCGTCGCAAATTCCAGTACTATGTGATACAGGACAGTTGCATTATCATGGGATTACTGGAAGAATCTTTAAGAGATAAAGGTATTTAACCGCTCTCCTTCTCTATAATGTTTCTCAAGAGCGTAGTGGAGGTTGGAGTTTCAACAGGAGAGTGCTGCAGCTTGGGACCTTAGTAGCCACTCCCTTAATGCTCTCTGAATTAAAGGGTGTAAGAATAGCACAACTCAATATGGTTTTAAGTAAGCTCTCTAATGAGCATTGCATTATGATGTCTGTTATTTGAGACCGCTGGATTCCTTGAAATACTCTGAAAACATAGGATCATTTGCACATCGACTGTTATTTTAAGTAATTGCACCGTTTCCTGATTGAAAGACTATAAAATTGCTGCCGTTGTTCCTGCCACTACGTCATTATCGCCGCAGCAAAAACTCGTCCTGCATTGTTAATGGCTATCGCGTTTTTTCGCCAAAATAAGGTGACTTCCGTATCTAATGTACTGCACTGCACGTTATCCCCTCTGTACGTCGTTTTTTTTAATCGTTTTCTTATGTATTTATTTTCCAGACCCGTTACCGGCTTTGTCATCAGTTATACGTGGCCCTGCTGGTCGATATGTCTGGACCATGCAGTTACGACAGTTCTCTAGGGAGAAAAATGTACGGTTATTTGATTAAAAGTTTGCACATTTACCTCTAATTAGTTATTGTATAAAGGTGAGATACCCCTCCAGGTCATAGCCACATAGTTAGATTGCCTTCTGGTTGTCCACCTCCTTCATTTCGCTGTGAGTACGTCCAACTTCTTGCGAAAAGCCCGTATGTGACTTTGTTGAATTCACTTGTTTACGTTTGCTTAACGATGGCGGATGGATAAGTCCTTTTAAGTTAAGCCACATCTGTGCAGTGCAAGGACGTTAAGGACGTAATGTAAAACGATTTTAGGAATTTGATTCACGTTATTCGTCGCCATGAATGCGTTTGTGTCTGTTGGTTGTTGAAACTAAGAATTCCTTTGTTGAAATACGGGTAAAATTGAATAAATCTGAGATCTGATGTTGATTTTTTTCTGCAATTTTTTAAATTGCAGCTCACCAACTAGAATCTCTTATTTACTTTTTTTCAATTTTTTTGTTTTGTTCTAGGACCTCATAGAGGCCCACTTGAAGGACCCAGGCCGTCCGTCGCCAGACAAAACTCAGCCTCACTCACCACTGAACCTTAAACACAGGGCCTTTCCTGAGGCTGTGGATTCAGTGCCTCTTACTAAAGCGTAAGTAAACAAGTTAACTGGTTAAAGGAGAAGACGTAGCGTGAAGGAATACCATGCATTGATTGTGTCAAATGAGCGGCATCATTTAGTCAATTTTCCTTTTTTCTCTTTGGTTGATTTAGGGACCGCAGTATACCAGAACTCGACCAAATTCTGGATGCGAAGTTAAGTGAAGTACAGGATCATATGCGGACACTGATGCAGAAACAGGTTAGATTAGAAAGGCCTAGTGTTTCGTTTTATAATTCTGTTAGTTTATGACTTTCATTTTGCCAGTATTTGCCTCTAGGTTGGATCAATGTCATTATCTGAACAACTACGACGAGAAATTTTCGTCCAGAATTGGAGGCTTCCATTAAAATCTTTTAAAATAAGTTTTTGAATTTTCTTTCATCAGCTGGAACATGAAACTGTTGCCCAGTCAAAACTAGACGAGGAAGAAGCCAGGGTGAAGTTTCCCGATGAAAAGACAGAAATCAAACCACCCCGGTAAACATGCACGATGGGAACGCGGGAAGGGGGGCAAAGGAGGGGAAGCTTTTTAAAAAAAAAAATACTTAGTGTTTTTTTTTCTTCTTAGAATTTGATGATTGGATGCTCTACAAATAATTGATAAAACTATCCCAAAAAGGCTTTTGAACTAAGGAATCAATACACCCGGACTAAAATTCAACTTTAAGTCAGTGGTAATCAGCCTCCGAGAAACGGGCCTCGGTAACTTCATATTGTTTAAGGACTGATGTGTTCCATACCCTCTTTAAGCTCATTTAGCGCTTGTTGTGTACAGAAGTGATACGTAGCAATTGCAAATAATTCTGTTATAGTGCATAGATAGCTTGTGTCACCGGCCTATTTTCAGAGAGTGATCACATGGTACTTTGTTCGCGGAAAGAGTGACCACCATTTTGAATTCTTACATAGAAATTATAACCGCGGGTGAGGTAGGGTGAAGGAAGAGGGGGGAGGGGAGGCCTGGTATGCTATTGTTAGTGTATTGAACTAAGATGCGCTCCTATAATGACACTTGCAATGCACCTAAACGATAATCATGCCTCGAACACTTGTACCACTTTGCAGGCCGTGTCAGGATTTTAGTCCGTCTCGTTTGCTGTTATCCCACTTTGGACTGCTTACCATTGAAGGACTGAAGGTAAACAAAGCCAAGACTTTATGTATTGTTTGCTGTGAATACCCAACGTATGGTTAGAGATATCTTTGAGTTTTTAACAAGATGACAATTTATGGCTTCCCTTTTCCCCAGTCCTTTATAACCTTTGATAAACACATTGATGAAGACGGCGAAGGTCTATGCATGTTACACAGATTTGCTTGCCCCCAGTTTAAACAAGAAATGTTTTTTGCCATCGATCTGCGACAATTATAAGGCTCTGACACTGAGTTGACCTGGTTATGTGACTTCAAGAAATTAGAGTTGCGAAATATTATTATTTTTTACCTTTGTATTGTTAAAGTGTCTGTATTCCTCAGGCGTTGCCATAAAAACAGAATTTCATTAGACTATCAGTAAACATGATATCAGAGTTGAGAATTACTGATACCAAAGGGAATGAAGTGTAACTGTAAATGTGATAACACTAGTATCCTTTTTTGAACATAAACGAGGCTTAAAAAAAATAGATTTCCTTTATAGCTCCCTTCAGACCGGAAAAGTGTGCTGCAATGGAAGCGCTCCCTGAATTCTTTTCGCGGGCTTGAGGTCTTATGAGAAGTGGCATTGATGCTGGCGCTCGTCCTTGCTCTGCAAGAATTTTATGATTCTTCCGTTTTCTTCATCTACGACAATTAATGTCACAAGCTGCAATTTGACCTGGAATCAGTGGAGTATAAACCGTTGCTAAATCAAATTTCTTCACTTTGTTTGTTTACCTTTCCAGGGAAATCCTATCCGACCATTTGAGGAGGCGAGCCTGTTAGCGCTAAACTCCACATCAGAGGGACTCTCTAAAGCTCTAGAGGAACTGGATCAGGTCTCCACCCGCACACAAGATACTGTACTGGTGTTCTACGTGAAAGCAGAGCAGGGAAACGCCCACGAAATAATAGAAAACCAGGTGAGACATCAATGAAGTGAAACAGAACTGCATGCTGCAATACTTTTGAAAGAAATGAAGTACTGATCTTTAGGTTACCTGATGTAGATCTTCGCCGTTGGTGATGTGCTTTCCCGCGCTTTGTTTCGCCTCAGGCTTCTTCCGCGTTGGCAATGGTCATGTGTTTTCCCGCGCTTTGCACCGCCTCATGTCTCGCACTCGCTGGTCGTCTGTATTGGTTTCCCATGCTTTGCGTAATCTCACGCGCTTCGCTTTTTATCGGCCCCGAGTTTCTTGCGCATATCAGCTTTCCATTTTATGAATATTTTTCCTTATTGTCCCTTTTTATTTCCTTGAGAGTGGTTCCAAAATTCTTCTTCTGAGTTGTGATTCGTCTGCAATGTCATTTCTGTTCATTTTATTATCACAGATTAACACCTGTAAGCACTCAAAAGCTTTCAGAGAGTTTTTGCTTTCCCTGGGATGGCCTGTTGATGTGGCCTCGCACCCAGGATGGTCGGGAAACATCCAAGAGGCTTGGAACCGAAACAGAAATGATGACGACACTGTCACGCTGCGCCAGCGTGACAGTCCTCTCCAGTCCTCTCAAAGCGTCTCGACTCTTACAAGCAGCGAAGAACGAGACATATCTGGCAACAGTAGCGATAGATACACATCCTGTCTCGACAGTTTTGATAGCAAAGCCTCCAGTAGCGGAAAAGATTCTCCAGCGATGAATTCTACTGCTACTCGTGTGCCTCTAGAAAAGATGGCCGACGAAATATTTTATTTTGCAGACGTGAGCTGCGAGGTTGCGTTCATTGTACCTTCTTTGTTACCAAGTTATCAGCGTTTCCGCCATATGGCTTCACATGCTGAGAGTTGGGAAGATCTGGGGTATGCACCGAGAAAAAGGACTCGATCGGGCAGCACGGGGAGCCTGGAAACTATTAGCAGTGGTGGTGGCAGTCAATTCGATGTCAGAAGCAAATTTTCTCGGAAAGTGTCGGAAGGGCCTGGATACGAGGTAAATTGGCTGAAACAAATAATTTTCCTTGTTCTTTTGTCACAAAAAGGTGGAGAAAGCCTCTTGATACAACCCTCGAACGTGTGATTTTGAAGGCAACATTTTTTTTCTGTCAGTGCTAAGTAAGAATGAATAACAACGTGGAGATTGAATCAGTTTAAAGAATTTGCCAAAGTGGAAAACGTGGGAGAATACGTTTAAGTTTGGCACAGATTTTGAAAAACGTTGAAAATACCTTAGTGGTTTTTGCCTGGTGTAGTTAGCTTTTGTTTATACTTCTCTCTAGGTCATTTCTAGGTTGTTTTGCAGACAAGACAATTTGGTATAGTAAGATCTTTTCGCAGGAATTTAGGCTAAATCACTTTTCGATTGAGCAATCACGACAGCCAATCATAGGAAGGAAAATATTACACGGGGGCCAATGAGAACTCGGAAAAAAAAAAAGTAAAAATGTCCGAAGCGCTCACAAGATGTGCTACGCTTACCGCCGGATATGAGTTTAATTTTTTGTATAGTTTTATCCACCCCTCGAGCGACCGGGACCAGATCTTGTGATCAAAAGTGGCTAAGACTTCGATTTGTGTACTGTCTCTGCTTTGCGTAGTGCCTCTGGTAACGAGTGGTTTAGGGTGCTTTTCCATGGGTGAGCACCAAAGGCAAATAAAACGGTGACATGTTTGTTACTTTGTCATAATAGGTTTTGTTTTTTTTTTCGCTTTCAGTTCCAACATCGGACCATGTCAACTCTCGGGCATTCCTTGTCCTTAGACAGTCGACCGCTGTCCAGATTAAGCACCCACAATACCTCGTCGGAGACAAACGTAGTGGTGGCGTGGCTGGAGCGATTTGAGGATCATGCGCAGTTCCCCGTGGATGATCTGTTAATGGAGTTTGACATCTGTTGTAGTGATTCAACTCGAAGTTTATTCGATAAAGAAACGGTAGTAATCTTCATTCACCATCTCAGGAGCGGTCTGTACCGCATTCATATCAGGTCCACCATCAGGTAAATAACACCTTCTTAATGCCTCAGCGAATGTTAAATTTACGAATAGGCGTGTTTCTAATCTGCGAACTTTTCTTAATATCATGTTAGGTCTCCTATTGGCGGACCACTCGTAGACGGTATGGTAGTTAGCCGCCGAGTCCTGGGTACCATGGTGCGACAGACCGCTCTCAACATTCGTCGACGGCGCAGGCTGGAGATTGATACGTAAGTTGACTTTGAGATTTTTTCCGTTTTGGCTTTATTTTGTTTGTTTTTGTGTTTGTTGGTTTTGTTATTGATTCTGTTTTGTTTTGGTCTTGTAATGTTCTTCTCTGTTTTTGCTTTGTTTCTTTGTTTCTTTTTCATTTGCCGTCCTTTGTTGTGGTTTTTGTTTGTTTGTACTCTGAATTATTTTTTTGAGCGCAATACCGTTGGTGTGAAAGTAATTTTATTTTTCATTTTGCAGATATTCCCCTCCTCAAGTTTGCCGTAAATTGAAGATTCAAGACATAGTCAAGAAATTCCGTCATCAATATTCGGTTCCTGATTTTTATGTATCACTATTTCGAAATGGAGTTAAATAGTTTTGCTCATGCTAGAGGAGATTTAAATTGCGTTCCGAAATTCATCCGGGATTGCTTTGGTTTTACTTTACTTCGCTCTGGGATTGGTCCACTTTCTCAACCAATCATATGCAAAACTAAACAATCACGACTTGGTCGCCTGCGTTTTCCCGCGCTTTGGGCTGTTTGGTTGTTTCTGTTGTTGTTTTTTTTTACTTTGAATTCACATTTGGTCTAAACGTATTTGCCTTTCTTCGTTACTGCTTTGATTTAGTTTTTACGACACTTAAATCGTAAAGCGCTCTATCAGCATCCTGTGAATCAATCACAAGTCAATCCAAAGAGTTTTTCTTCTGATCTCCGAATAGTGTGTTTTTATGAATTAGTGAAACAGAACTTTGGAGTGAGGACGAGTTATCCTTTCAGTGCACAGATACTTTGAGTTAATTGGCCAGTATTGATTCCTCGCTTCCTTCAGCTCTATAGTCTCCAATTTCAGACGACTGAAAGTACGAGATAAATATACAAGTTGACCCCTAGTCTCAAGAATGCGGCAAAGTTTTGTTACCAACCGCTGTTCGGTCAGTGAGCCCGCGCTCATACTAGTTTTCATGCCTGCGCTTTCAAGATTCCCGCAAGTACATTTATTTGATAGTTTAGCGCGTCAAAAGACGTCAATAGTGCTATCTTTGACTTGATAGCAAAAAGTGGTGTTAAAAGTACGTTATGTCGATTACAAGGCAATAAATACAGTTGTAACATATAAAGGGTTCTACTCCTGACTTGCTATTCCTGATTTGTCCAATTAATAATTTATTTATACGAGGACTGGGATTAATCCGGAGAGGATTCAGAAATATTTAAATACGCCGTTTAGTGTGTAACGAGTGTAATTGTGTAATCAACGCGAACATTACCAGGAGAGGAGCGCACCAGAATTTTTGACTTTTTTTTTGATATAAAGACAGTACTAATAATAAACTCTTCTGCTTCCTGTGTCGACACCTGATCTTCCAATTCTTCACCTTCGACTACGAGTTCAAATCAGTTCCTGATCTGACGAGAAGGTGCTATTAAACATGCACACTTCTCATTGGTGAAGACCACTGAGTCTCAATAGTTTGTTCATCCTCAATCGTTTGGCCGTCTCTCATTTATTTTTTCACCTAAGCTCGCCCCCAAACTCATCCTTGGTTTCGTGTCTTGTAAAGCTCAACTAAAGGAATGCCCGTACTTGAATAGGCTTCGTGTTTGGAAATTTTTAAATTTTTCTTTTCCCATTTTAGTTTCCTTTCACAGATTTCTATGAACGATTCAAATTTTTTTATCGCTTGGAATTTTGCGCGGAAGATTGGCGATCGGCCGTCAAGAATTGATCCCCTCACGCGTGTCCCACGTTTGACCGCTGTGTTGCCTGGGACGGGTGTGGGACATTAGAGCAGTTCTTACATGAAGATATTGAACCCGAGCCGCCATTGCAACCGGTACTATGTAATCACCTGTGCCCGGTCACGGAAAGAATAAGACTTCATCATGTTCCAAGGAATTTTATACCACCATGTGAGAGTTTTCAAGATCAGAAACACCCCAATGACATATTCATTTGTTAATATTTTCAAATGTTATTCGTCGAGGCTCTTTTCTTCGGATGCCTTTCGGAGTACTTACCGTACACGATTTTCAGATCAAGATTATCCGATTGACTCACGGAAAGGGTACTGGAGTTTGTTAGAAGCATATGAGTATAAGTGGAGCAAAGACCTCAACAGGCCCAGGACGAAACAGGTTTTGAGTTCCTTTCCACTCATGGAAAAGATAAAAAATGAAAGTGATATAGGTCAGGTGTTTGAGCTGTATGAAGTGTTGAAGGACTCAAACTTAGCCACGGACGACGTAATGACCATTTCTTCTCAGGTCGCACTATTCTCCCGTTTTTCTCACCAACAAGTAAGGCATGGAAAAGGCAGCGAGGCCGTTGACTTAAGTCGCGTGCAGGAAGCGACAGAATCTCTCTTGAAAGCTATGAAATGGAATAGCTGTCATTTTGAATGTTCTCAACTCACCAGCGCTGTTTGGGCGATAGCGAATCATCGAGTGAAAGCTAAGTCGCGTCATGAACACTTAGAGGTGACTTTTGCACTACTCCATTTTGATAAAGAAATCAGAAGCCGTGATCTCAGCGAGTTTACTAACGGGGACATAGCTGTGATCATTCTGGCATACGGCAAAGCAAATGTCCGAGCGTTTTCGATGTTTAAGGTGCTTAGAAATGAAATTATGGCCCGGGATTTGGCAGATTTCACCGTGGAAAATATCAGCAAAATTCTTTGGTCCTATGTGCAGACGAAGCAGACAAGTGCTTCACTGTTTGCCGCTATAAAGAAGGAATTACTGAGTCGTGATTTATCACATTTCTCTGAGAAGGTCATAGTGTCAGTCCTTTGGTCATTTGCCATGGCCAAAGGGAACACTAAGGATTTATTCAGGAGTTTAAAACGTGAAATTTTGAAGCGTGGTCTCTTGCGTTTTTCAGAGAGGCAGCTAGCTCAGATTGTTTCTTCTTATGCTGAGAAAAACAGGCATGCCCCTGATCTCTTTGAAGGAGTTGCTTCTAACCTTCTTTCAAGAGGTGAACTCAACTTTGATTCAAGAGGCCTTAGAATGATTGCAAAGAGCTTTGCAAAGACCAAGAATTTCATACCAGATCTTTTTAGTTACATAGGAGACCATGTAATGGATAGTGAGATTTCTGTATATCATCCCTTGGAAGCTGTTGAACTTTTGTGGGCCCTTACTGAAGCAGGTTTCCTTCAGGAAATACTCCACCACAAGCTTGTAGATCACATTCTTCGTTGTAATTTTCCAGAATTGCCAGATTCAGCTCTTCAACTGCTTGTGGCAGTGTTAGAGAACAGTAACTTTAAAGCACCTGACCTTGCAGCAGCAACAGAAGCTGAGCTTGTCAGGAGATCAGAAGCAAAGTCTTGACTCTGTGAACGTTTTGAAATTCTTACCCATGTGCATTTGTTTATTGTTAGTGCATATTTGGGCTGCGATCGTGATCCAAGAGAGAGCAAGAAATTGACTCCACAAGATTGACTGATTGTGATTTTGTTGGTTTTGGTCTTATGACAATCAATTTAAAATGATCTAGTCTCTCATTAAAAATTTCTTCCAATCTTACAAGGGTCAAGTAACACCTTTGGATAAGTTACCACCCTGTAACATGCTGTTATACATATTTCCATACAGATGCAAGTCCTTGCTATCCATGAACTACTGAAAAACTTCTAGTGTTCAGTTTCCTTTACTCCAGGAGTGTCCAAACTTATGACCCCCTAATAGTTACTAACATTTCTCCATACAGTGTTATCTCTGACTCAAACATTAACCCTCTAACTCCCATAAGTGATCAAGACAGAATTTCTCCTTTTAATATCAACACAGAATCAAGCCGACTAGTGAGGAGAATAAAGATGAAAACTCAATAAGGAGACTACAAGTGTATCCAATACCAAATTCTCCAAATTGAAACCAGAAGTATTTTAAGGCAGACAGTAGGGAGAATTGCTAATCAGATCTTGGGAGTTAAAGGGTTAAGGTTACAAGAAAAAAGGAAATGATCACCAACTAGAGACTAAAGAAGCTCTTGATTGTTAATTAAATTCTTCATGTCAGCCCCTAAGAAAATGTATGGAGTTCTAACAATATTGAAAATATGCATATTGATGTTTTAACCCTTTCACTCCCAAGATCTAATTAGTAATTCTCCTAACTATCTGCTATACAATTCTTATGATGTTAGTTCAGAGAATTTGGTATTGGATCAACTAATAATCCCATAATTGATATTCTTCTCTATTCTCATCACCTGCCTGCTTGATATTGTATTGATATTGTAAGGAGAAATTCTGTCTTGGTCACTTGTGGGAGTTAAAGGGTTAAAGGGTTAACATAGTACATAAAATTATCTTAAGATGGTTCTGTGTTTAAAAAGTTTGACTCTTTATGATTTAAAATACCGTCAGCTTCCTAAAATGTAATATTTTCCAGTCTTTATTTAGTTTGAATTATAATATCAATGTTCCAAGAGGATGTGAAATATTTTGCCAAAAAATTCATAATTTATGAAAACAAATGAGCCCCTATTTTACTGCAGCTGTTACAACATTGCCTCCATTTAATAAGTACTAGTTACCTTTTAACTTGGAATATTTGAAAAGTTGAATGAGAATATTAAATGGAGAAGATCAGCAAAAATAATATTGTAAGAATTTTATGTTTAGAGGGTAAGGTGTAGGTAGAGTCACCTCTTGACCCCAGAGACAAACAGCTGTTTGTGGAAAGGTTATGGCAAAAAAGGACAAAGAGCATGCAATATTCCCTAAAGGCAATCTGGGTATCCAGTGTCAATGAAATTTTAATTGTGAAACAAATAAATATGGAAGAAGGACTTTTAAACAGGGGATAAATGTTGATATGCATGTGAAATAGAGAGGAACGAAATAAAAGAACATTACAAGCCCCCCCCCTCTCCCCCTCCCTCCAGCAGGCTTTCATCAGTTTTCCCTGACAGTTTACCAGTACTTATAGGGGTGGGAAGGGGAACAGAGGGGACACTGTGTGATAAAGTGATTGGCCAAAGAACACAAGACAATGACTTAGCCGAGGCTTTGAATCAGACCTCTTAATTCAAATCCCAATATACCAAATGTGAGGTGACGGCCTCTATGTGATAAATAGAATGACTGCTCTCTTCACCACACCTATCACAACTGTAAATGTCCAGAAAAAAATACTGAAAAATTAAAGGTTTGGGTCAAGTTGTGCAGTTTTGAGGGAAAAATGTGCTTGAGGATAATTAGGTTTGTGGGCATTAGCTGAGTGACTGCCGGTTCCACTATTTCAGTGTGTTTTCAAGAGTCTGAATTGTGAAAATTTCTGTGAATCTATTTTGGCAATTCTTTGTTGTATTTTACAATTCTCTGTTGAATAAGGTTGTTTCATCAAAATAGCTGGATTTAAGCCCCTTTGGCTCACTAATCCATGAAGTAAATTGCCTTTAGAGCTTCTCTTTCTTTGAGTGTCCCTAAACCCAGACTAATATAGTAATTATGGGTTGTAGTGCATAAATAACAAAAGTATATCATTGAAATGAAAACCCAGCAGATTCAACAAGTGAGAAAAAAATTAAAAAAAAGGAAAAATTTAACAGCATGTCAAATGTGCATGGCGGATGTGAGAAAATCGGTGTTGTCCTATGTTGCTCGTTTGGAACGTTTAGATTTAGGTTTCAGGTGTTTCTTTATGACATTATGAATATATTCCGTAGTCCTCTTTTCCTCTGGTCCATTCCGATCTTGAAGTTCATAATGTTTACCAGTGTTTCCCAAGGGACCATTAAAGAGCGACGATATACTGAACGCATTTGATTGATCAAATGGAACGGATACATTGCCTCATTTTGACGTCATCTGTAATCAAATCTGAGAAGGTATCTATTTGTAGATATACACAGTATTCTGTACGCATTTGTAAGATCAGCACAAACAGTTTCCAATCAGTCGAATCAGGTGTTAAAGTAGTCTTAACACGCCGTCAAAATGACCCGTGTTCTTGTCACTGGGGCCTCTGGTTTCCTCGCATTGCATGTTGTTAAGCAGCTGTTGGAGTCTGGTCAACAATACATCGTTCGAGGAACAGTCAGAAGTTTAGCGAACGAATAGAAGCTCAAACCGTTGAGGGCACTGTGCCCAGAAAATTCGAAACAACAGCTGGAATTGGTGGAAGCAGATCTCAGTCAAAGAGAATCTTGGATTGAGTAAGTATTAGCGAATTTCTTTCTTCATAATCCAGCGATTGACTTGACCAAATGGAAGTCGACCAAACGGAAGTCGGTGTTCCAAATCACAAAATAAGGCATCACTGCAGC